CTAAAATCAAAATGTTGTAGATTCGTCAGGAATTTAAATGGCGCTTTCGGTATTTCAGAAACGGAAGGAGATAGAGCGTGAGACATTCTCAATGTTAGAAGCGAATGGCCGACCTGAGGAAATTTGAATCAGATGAAACTGATGAATGATGAACTGAGAAATGAAAGTTTATTCTTTTTTTTTTCTTTTCTATTATAATTTTTCGTTTAAGTGATATATTAAGTGATATAATAATAAACAAAATCTTATTTAATTAATTCATTATAATAAAAATTCCAATAATATGAAGTTCCACTATATGTATATGTTTATTATATTTTTTTCTATATAATTCTTTTATATATAATTCTTTATAATAGAAGCCTTTTATTGGAATTATCCATGGATCTTTAACTTGGGAATACGATTCGAATCTAGTTCAATTAAATATTAAGCTAAATTAACTAAACCTTGGATTAAGATTTTGTATGGTTGCTCGGTTAGCAAGTTGGTAGTTTGAGAGCGCAAAAAAAGAATAAACAATTATATATAATATATATAATACGCAATAATATCATTTTATATACTTGAATTTCAAATCTTTTGAAGAAAGAAAATATTGCAAAGCAAATGGAATTACCTCGGAGAAAGCTTCGTCTTCTATTGTGGATATCGAATTTTCGGAGAAATCTAGATATTTGATCCCGCGTACATGCATGAAAGCATGACTTTTGATGGTGTTCAGATTACTTTTCACAATACGAAGCTCTTTGATATCCATCCCGTATTCCATAAAATTATCTGGAGATAACGTCGACTCTGGTATTCGTGAGATAGAAAGGAATCGCATGTTCCTCATTTGTCGTAGATCTTGAAGTGACACTACGCTGTTTTCTTTCCCGCTTAGATCCAGATTATACAAAGAATATTGGAAACCATTAAATACCTCGGCTAATAACAAATATAGAATCGACATATATAAATATACAAAGATTAAAATTAATATTAATTTTAAAAATATCAAATAAATCATCAAATATTTTGAAAATTTTATAATAGAATTGAAAGAAGTAAATTATTTGCAGAATTATATAAATAATTTTAAATTATTTTACCCGGTGAAAAGGTTTGAATCTTGTTTTCACGGAAAATTAAAGTGCGTAGAAAATCGTATTCTTGGAAAATAGGACTTGGAAGTAACGTAATATTATTTCCCGAGAGATCCAACAATTCGAGAGACGATTCCAAACCAACGAAATTAGATGAATCGACCTCCAATAGATCGCAATCGCTCAAATAAAGTTCCCGTATTCTCGAATCCCTAAACGTACCCTCCTAAAATATACGATTCAAATTTCTAATAAGATTCGTGTTTTCTACAATAAGCAAACAAAGACAACAAATTTCTAAAATTTTTAAAATACAAAAATTTAATCAAAAATTTTTAAAAAAATTATCTACTTGAACACACTTGAAATTATAATATTTTGGAAATCCTACCTCGATCATCGTTAAAGGATTACCATCCAAATAAGTCTTGTTGACTTTTAAAAAGTGCTGAAAATCACCAGACATCAGAGTCTCGATTTGATTGTAATCCAGACGCAATATATCGAGAGACATTTGAAGTCCCTTGATTTCTGACTCCAGTTGGGGGTTCAACATTTTCGATATCCTGTTATAACTAAGATCTAACACTTTCATACGCTTCAATGACGATAATTGCGCGTAAGGTATGTGTGTCAATTGATTTCCGTTCAGATACAGATGTATCAGATGCGCCATGCCATCTCTGAATACAGAAGGATCGATTTCCTTCAGGTTATTGTCACGTAGATCGAGCATATCCAAGTAAGTGAGACCCGCGAACGCGTCTGCTGGAAGTTTGTCAATTGCATTACGTCCCAATCGCAATTTTTGCAAGGAATTTTCGAGACCACGCCAGTTGTCTGAGGCAATCTTTGATATTTTATTTCCTATACAAAGGAAATTGAAATCATTCGTGTGTTTTCTTTCCTTTTAGATTTTTAATCACTTATTTGCTGCGATATATATAATTAAAAAAAAATTGTAATTCTTGCATTTGCAGCCTCTGGTCAAAAAAAGTAGAATTACTCGTAGTTTTCAATATTGCCTCGCTTCAATATTACTTGGATTATTTTTAAATTGTGAAATAAAATTTTTTAAATAAAATTTAATAGTCTGAACAGAATTTAATTACAAATTTTAATAATTTGTATTATATTAATATTATCATTTATAATATTTTATCTTTTTTTTTATAATGGAGTGTATGTATATTGTATGAACGATAAAATTTCTGTATATGATAAAAATATCGCTTATAATTTGTATGATAACTGATTGAGCCAATGCAACATTTGGATCTCGAATCTCGAACAATGAATAATTGAATTGGATTAATCTTTCTTGATCTGTTAAGGGATTAAAACAAAATTAAATGAGAGTGTTTAAAAAAAGAACTAAATTTTAAAATTAAAAATTTTTGCAATAAATTAATATAAATTGGATAATATCAAAAGAGTTATATTGCTATATGATAATTAATTATTATCAAATATCGTTCAGAAATTTAAAAAATTTTAAATTTTACTAAAAATTACAAGAAATGTTGAAAATTCTAAATAGTTCTAATTTTTTGAGCAGTAGACACATATTCATTGATTGAATTTAATAAGTGATTCTTTCATTTTGGCATCTAATGATATTTTTATATATTTTTTCGATATGTACAAAGGTTTCATATTATTCCATTATCGATCAAATAATGTTTCTTATTATTTTCTATCATGAATTTTTCGAAGATTATATATAAAAATATTAAAAAAAATAAGAAGAAGAAAAAAAGAGAAGATACCTGTTAGATCAAGAAGTTGTAATTTCTGCAAATGTCTGAATGACTTGCTAGGAATTTTCTCCAGCCGATTGTAGGGTAATTCGAGCTCCCATAATGATCTCTCAAGCCCTAGGAAAGCTTCGTCAGGGATGTCAGCCAAGGGATTATGTTTGATTCGTAGTTTGTACAGACCTGAGAGATAGGAGAATGACGTAAACGTAAGAATTGCATTCTACGTAAGAATACAATAACATAATCGGTGATACACGGTCACTGCTCTTTAATCCCTATACGTATTATTCTTTTCTCTGATCGACGATCTTTTCCAAAATTCTAGTATATTATTATAGTATATATTATAGTATATTATAAGATAATATATTCTAGTATAAGATAATATATAATGAAATCATAATATATAATGAGATCATGAATAATTTACATTTTGGATTATTTTTAAATTGTGAAAAAAATTAATTAATTTTGATACGAAAAAAAAATTCTTTTAAAATTTTATTTCGCGCGTTGTTAATTAATTTTTCTCGATTTATATACCTGTGTTCATAAGAAACTGTGGTTGCAAAAACATCAATCCATTGTTCTCCAATTGTAGCATAAACACCTTGGAAGAATTTATTGGCAGGGGTATTCGCGGCATTGGTACATTATAACAGGTCACTATACCCAAATCAGGAATGGCTTTCGAGCAAGTGCAAAGGGGATTGAAGAAACACGGTGGATATTGCACTGGAAGCTCGTGCATCCGAGCTAAGGATGCCCACATCATCAATAATAGAGTAAAAATGACCAGCACGTAACCCATTTTTATTATTATTCTCAAATTCTGTAATGGTATAATAATTAAAATAATAATAAATATTTTTTCTGCTTAAATCTTAATATTTCGAATTCTCAACTCGTTAATTTTTTTTTTTCTTATAGTAATATTATGACTTACTTAAAATTATTCAAATGTTCAGTCGTAAATTACAAATAAATTTCGATAATATCATATATAGATATTTCCATATATATAAATGATCATTTTCATTTATAAATATCAAATATTTATTTTAAATATCAAAATGTTTAAATAAATTATTTAATTGTATAACTATTAATTATTATTGAGTTTAAATAATTTATTTTATAAAAGAAATTTAATTTTATAAAATATATTATCTCATTAAATGTAATAATCTAATTCCACAATGACGTCAATTGTTTTTTTTGATTGAAGGAAAACCATATATATTCGTCATATATAATCAATTTTTCACAAACAAGCCAATTATTTTGGTTATAATCTAATCTTTTTAATATTATTATAATATTGACGCACGTGCTTTACATATATATATCCATAATATATTATTAATATGGTAATAAAAAAATTGTTTAGATAATTTATTAGATTTTCTTTATTAATTTTAAAAACGATATTATAACATTTATATTAATTAAGAAAGATACGCTTGAAATAAATATTTGTTTCTTATGAGCAAATAAATTTAAAAAAATAAATACACAGTCTATGATAATTTTCAGCATTATTCAAAATTAATGCAAATGTATTCCAATTTTGCATATATCCATGTAAAGTATTTCCTTCTTAATGACATAAAATAAAATCAATCATTATGAATTTTTTTCTAAAAATATAACTAATTTATATGGAAAATAGATAAAGAAAATGATAATATACGTATAAAAAAATAGATCAAAAAAATTGAAGTTGTTTGAAAATTTGAATAGAAAGATTTTTTTATGTATTTTTGTAAAAATAGCTATTACATTGGATTTAGAAAATGCATAAAAATATTACGATATAATTTAATTAATAAAAGAATCATTTTTTATTTCTATTTTAAGGATGAAAATATTGCTAATTGCTATGTTAGATTCAAAATTATTTTTAATATCTTAAACTTATAGTATAGTAGCAAAAAATTTTGGAAAACATTTTTTTTTTTTATACATTTATACTACTTTTTTATTTCTTTGAAATTTTATTTTTTAATGACACAAAACTAAAACTACAGAACTAAAACTATTTCTAATTAACAAATATTAATAAATTAAAAGGAAACTTATGGATGCTTGTTTACAAATGCTAAAAAAAATAAAAAAATAAAAAAATAAAATAAAGAAAACTGTGATATTTTTCAGAAATTACTATTTATATAATTATTTATACAATAAAATTTATATCAGATTTTAATAAAGATTTACAAAAATCGACATATCTTAAGAAATTGGATTTGTATCATATCATTGTACTTTCTTTCGAAAACGTCGATTCTGTTGCTGTTGTTATATATACGCTAAATAAAATTTTTCCTCTACTGACAATTAAAAATTGAATCCAAAAATTTAGTATAAACATACAATTTAAGAATATTTTATATCTTATCATCCAACAAACTAATTATCAACTAAACACTGTATTCCTGGTTGTGCAAAGGTCAAATATTTTTTTAGAAAAAAAAAAAAAGTAAAGAAAAAAAATACCTAACGTGATATCACTACTTCATTCAACTTTTATTTATATTCAATATCTCTTTTATTATGAACACATTAGATCCTTGATGCCACACAATTTTTTTATTTTTCTCTTTTTCATAATTTAAATAATGCTCCGTAATGTTTCACTGCCCTTTGCACATCCACGATTTAAACAATAAATAGAAGATTTACCATATTTCCTTGGACCAAGAGAACACTATCAGTTCGTCAATCGTAGCTCGCGATGATTGCACTGAAAATTTTACTAGCTAAGTGGCCGCTGCCACCCTATGTACTAGGGCTTCGGGAGTGCCGTCAGTTTCAGTGCTTCTCTTTACCCGATTATAAGGACAATATTCCATTAGGCAGCGAATGAAAATAGTCATGCAAAACTTTAGTAAATGTTCAAATTATGCCTATATATAATTATATAGGAGTATAGAGGCACGTGAGGCATAATGATCATTTTATTTATCGGATTTTACCCAGCTATAAATGTATTTTCATATCTTTCGTATAAAAGTTATAGTTAACCGGTGGAATTTTATTATCACATCAATTTGAATATAGATAATAAAAATTATCCATATAATTGTATTGCAATTTTAGTCAATTTCATAAAATTTAGAATTTACCTACAGTTAGTTGTTGATAATTGTACAATTAATTGGAAGTTATTATAAAAGAATTCAAAGGTTGGATTTATATAACATAAGATACAATTTTAAAGGAAGAAAAGTTTGACAATAACAAAATGATTTGGAAAACTATTTCTAAATTTGATTTCTAAATTTTTACTAAATCACTAATTTGTATTTGATACTTACGTATATTCATATCCTAAGGGCCGAGCATCGTATCATTATTTTGTAATTATATTTTAAACGAATATTTGTATTAACATTAATAAAATGCTCGGAATAACGTTTCATGAATAAACATTGCAATTTATTTTGAATTAGTTATGATATTATTAGATATACTAAACGTATAAAACTGCAAAAATTACTTGCAAACGCTTAGAATAAAAATTATGTGACGTTCAACTAGAATGTCATCATCTATTAAATATTCTAACGATAAATGTTATAAAGGTAAAAGAACAAAAAAAAAAAAAACATGACAACATTAAAAAAGACTATCCATTAAATTATAATATTTAGTATATCATCTCCGTTTGTTCTTTTTTTGTTAGCGATATTGTAAAACAGCTAAGTGTCGATTTCTCAATGTACGCACGAGACACTCATATAAATATACGATCACTCACTTATATAAAACAAATATACTTTTTACACTCTCGACATAGAATTTGTACCAGCAACACGTCGCAACAATAAATATTGTACGTATATATGTGCGTCTATATAATATATATACATAATATTTATATGCATATTAAAACATTCATAAAAAATATTTATCTCTTATGATCACTTTTTGGCCACATCGAAATAGAGTTCACATTGATTTGCGCGCAGTTCCGTTGATTAATTCCTGAGAAGATTTCGATTCCACTTCGATTACTTTCGTGTGTGAGATTTTCGGAAGACGTGGTGCAATAATTAGTATAATTAAACCGATTACATGTCCAAATAGATATAAATGCCTATAAAAAAATTATATATTCAATTATATAATTATATCATAATTATATTATATAATTATATCATAATTATATTTTTAAAATTAGAAAATATTATTATTACTCACAGGTACATTCTGACACTTGGCATAAATTCCAAGATTAAAAAGCTCAATGTCAAGTAGGCCATTGTTAATCGCGTTGAAATGAACGTAAGCGCATCATAGAGGAACTTTAATTTCTTGGACCCTAAGAAATATGGTCGTATGTTACGACGAGCCTATTTAAAAAAAAACATTTATTTTAAATAAAACTTTATTAATAATCACTTAATAATTTAAAATATTAAATTTGATATTATTGTAAACTCTAATTACAGTGCGTGCCACGATGGTGAAAAATGCTCCATTGGCGAATGTTATGTAATAACCAGGATAAAAACCGTGCCATAAGGCAGAAAGGGAGTATGTGAACACAAGTTTATTGTATTTTGCCCTTTCGTACACAATCGATCTAAGCCATCTATTGGTTCCTTTATTCCAATGCTCAATACTGTCTCTTAAAGTAAGAGCCATCTAAAAAATAAAATTATTTTATAAACTTGTATTCATTTAAATCTGCGAAAATGTTTAACAAAATCAATAATGTCGTCTAACTTTATGGTGTTTTTATTTATGATTTATTTCTAAAATATTTATATTTTATATTGTTATGATCATTGTTAAACTTACCTCGAAACCTCTAACATCAACATTAGAATATAAATCCCATTTAGCTTCACCATTCTTATCATATTCACTAAAACCAAGTCCAGAGTTATTGCAAATCGCATCTGCGAAAATCCATGCGTGATAATATTTGAAACGAGCTAGCATAGCAGTTATTAATAAAAACCACATTTTATAAAACAATGTTGTGTTTTCTAAGAAATTTTCCTCTGCAAATAGAACAATGTTTTGTTAATATAGGCAATATGATGTGATAATAAATATTAAAAAAATTATATGAGTTGAACCTTTTAGCTTTTGTATCGAGTATGATGGAATGAAAGTCACAAACAGAGCTGCGAACAATAAGCTTATTATGACCTTTTTTATTACAACCGGTGTTGGAGATGGCTCTAGAACTATTTCGTCATAGTGAGTGGAATTTTTATCACAACCCTTAAAAGAAAAAAAGTAAAATTTATTTGTTTTCTTTTCTTTTCTTTTTTTTTTTAAATAGAAAATATACAGATAATAATAATTAAAAAAAAAAAACTAACTGTCAGAGCTTTCGTTCCAGCTATATTACGTCCATGAATGAAATCGATGTAATCGCGATAAAATATCACTGGTCCAGCCATCAATGCTTGAAAATGGAAAACATAGCTGAAATATTCTAACATCGTCGGAATCTTTCTGAAAAAAAAAATCAAGCATATAGCAAGTTGATCAAACAATAAGAAAATAAAAAAAGATATGAGCAATAGATATGTGTGATCAGATCATCCTTGAATACAAATGAAAATCATGTATGATGCATGTAGAGATAATGTTTTTTCCCCATAATGTTTGTTTTCTGTATTAAATAATTAATATCATAGAATAAACGACCGGTTAAAAAAGATGTCAACTCACTTCACGGCTTGATGACGTTGCGTTGGCGTAAGTTCCTCTTCACGTCGCGTTAATCCATCGTGTATGCTGAACGCGAGGCTGGTTACTTTCTGCGTTATCACCATAAGTGGTCCTGAAATGAACACGATGTAACGAGATCTTTATTTAGAAAAATAATTTTATTATAAGGTTACGTCTTTGTTTTTGTGCTTTATTTGTGCAATAATACAGCATTTTTATATATTTTATACAACATTTTTATTAATATAAATTCTTTTTATATTATATAATATTTTTATATTATATAAAGTATTATATAATATATAAATATCAGTTAACGTTTCATTACAAATTTAAAAAAATATTTTATTGTAAATATTTAAACAAATTATTTTTTTTCTTTTTGTTAATTTTTTTTATATATTTTACCAACAATTATTTATTACAATCGATTACATCAATTAATAAATTATTGTTACTGTTACTGTCCAAAAGTCTAATTTATTGAATTATTTAACAGAACTATTAATCGAAAATGAAAATTTATAGGATATGTGTAAGTGTTCCATTTGAATAGATTAAAAAAAATTATGATATATTTGTTAGAAAATAGTTTTTAATAAATATTTTTAATAAGTAATTAATAATTTATAATTTATTTATTCTAATATAATTACAATACTATTTATAGCAATATTAAAATGATTCTTACTCAAAGATAATGAGATAAAGATAACTACTTATTCTGCATGTTAATTTTTTCCTTGTATTATATATGGAAATAAATCGAAAATTATTTAAATGAGGATCGCAAATAAGATTAGAAGACACTTATCATTTTAAATCATTAAGAATTGTCAAAGGAAGAAATTAATTTAAATGAAATATGAACCAGAGAATCAACAAAATCGAATGATAAATACATTGTAAACAATTTTATACAATTAGTGTAACATCCTTTTTAATTACAAATATAAATCATTTCTTAAATTACATGTTGAGAATCTTTAATATTTAAAACCAATATAAAAAAAAAGTATATAAATATTATAAAATCTCGTATGATGAAATCGCGTATTGATTTTAAAAAATGATACGAGTCGATGACTTACCAGTGATATCAAGAGTGTATGAACCATAATTATAGATTTGTCGATGAAAGTGCACACAAGATAGATAAAGAAGTGCCGCCGTCAGCACTACCCTGAAACGTATTACTAAGATAAATTGTTGAGTTCAAGGAATATTTTATTATTAACAATTTATGTGAGAATAAATGTGAAAAGAATTCAATATTTAACACCTATTGATGTTTAATGATAAATAATAAAATTTTTTGTTAAAATGACTACAGGAGTGTTTCTTTAGTTTTTATTGCGTAAAACGAGAATAAAAAAGAAAAGAAATTACTTGAAATTCTGTAATAACTATTTATTAACCAATAAAATCATATCATAATTAAATCCATTTAATTTTATTTATTTTAATTATAGAGTGTAATCATTATTACTAAAGTAGAATTTATATAAATAATATTATAATAATACTAGTAAAATTGAAATACCAAAGATTTTTATTATGTAGACAAAAAATATGTTTTTATTATGTAGACAAAAATATGTTTTTTATTATTTCAGAGTATCAAATTATTTAAACACAATCATGTTTACGAATAGTACTGTTAGATATTCCAAAAACTTTAAATATTCTTATGCAATTTCAATTATGCAAGTTCATAATTTTAAAATGTAATTAAGGGAAAATTTATTATATTTAATATTACTTTGAAATCTTATAGAACAATTTGTTGAATGTTCAGTTTTAGTAAACATATTATAGTAAAATTATGGAATTATAAAAAGAAAAAAAGGAACAAATTTGTAAATTAAATATAAATTGTAAATGATAGAAAAATATATAAATTTTTATATATTTTTAAATGTGTGCATATTTTCAAATATTATTAATTTAAATTGCATAAAGATATAATTTTTTTCATATTTTTATCATATTTGTTTTATATATTAATCTTATTATTTAATTGTATAAAATAATATTTTTCAATAAAAGAATAAAGAATATTATTATCGTTATCTTAAGAAAGAAATACAATATATACAAATATTTACATGTACTGAATTGATAATATGAAAAGCGAGACGCAGTGATCAAGTATAAGATTTGTCAAGCGAATATTTGCAATAATTATAAAACTCTTATATTTTTATTATTTTAATAATTGTGCAATTCGCCTATGTTTATTTATAAAGTTTCAGCGATGTAAATAATTACATATTTATATTAAGTATTAATAAATATTTATAATTATAATATAATTTACATATCTACTATATTAATGAGTTCTTTTTATTAACAGAAGAATATTGCAATCTAACTGTAGAAAATTTCTATAGCATGTAAAATCTATGATAACTAATATAAAAAATAAATCATAATGAATAAATTGTTATAAACTTACCTCTGCATATTATGAGGATTTTGTGTACGCATTACAACGTAACATATGGCGGGGAGGCCTGCAAGATGTATCGCCTGCCTGAAAACGAATTTTTTTTTAACAAAACAAATTTATTATAAATTATACATTATTTATTATAAATTAAATTAGTCACTTAAATTAAGTCAAAAACAAATATTTGAAATCTTATAATATATTTTTTATTTTAATTCTCTACATTGGTAAAAATAATTAATTTTAACCATATATTGTAAATGAATTTTTACAATATTTTCTGAATAATATACAAATAAATCAGATATATTTTTTCAAAATATATGCTTTATATATGCTTTATAGTTAAATATTACATTAAAATAAAAATTAATATACAGTTACAATGTTACATTTAAATAAATAAAATTAAATGAAAACAGTTAATAATATTTTGAATTTTTATATATTTTTTTATAATAATAATCTTTTGTTTTTAGATAATAGAATTTCAATAATTGATAAAATTTTGATTATTTTTAATAATTGTCTAAATTTTATAAAATTAATTATTATAAATTTAATATACAATTATTTAATATATAGTTACACTACAACAAAAATGTTATATTATTTGTATAATATTTATTCTTAAAAATAAAATATTTAATACAATAATAAATCATAAATATTTTGTGCATAACATGAACGTAAAACAATGATTTTGTATCCAATCTTACAAACTTATTACTTATTAATACTTATTAAAGCTTTTTTTGAAGACTAATTGATCCATTTTTATTCACGTAGGATTGTTTACCTGCCGAAGCAAAAATATCCAAGCATGAGGCCGATGATGAGACCAAATACATGTCTGGTTGTTGCTGTTACGGTAACAGGACTAAGAAACGTTCTTAAAATTCCAGCCAATATCAGTGCTGTGATTTGAGATAATAGAAAATTCACCTGCACACAACGGGAAAAATATATTCATTATCATACTTGATCAATGTAACAATGAATTTGATCAATTGTAATGAAAAATATGAGATTATAAAATATCAAATTTTTATACAATTTTCAAATCGATTTTATTTTTTAATCCATTAATGTATACATTAAGAACTTTAAATATTAAATTATATTAAATATTTTTCGCGTAAGGAAAATATTTCATATATATATATTTATAATATAAATTTTATAATTCTATTTATAATTAAATTGAATTTTTCTTATTTTCAGATCGATTATTCTAATTTCAATTACAAATTTATTATTTAATAATAATTAGATTTAAAAAAAGTTTATGATAACAATTATTTCTTCCAAGGAATCGATAATTGAAAAAATATCTTTATAGCATATATAATATATATAATATTATTCCTCTCATAGCAATTCAATAATTTATAAAAATTTATATCTTAAATATAAAATATTAATTAAGATGAACATTTCTGAGATTTAATAATTACTTTAAAGTTCAATTTCATAAAACATTATAGTTTGAAAAAAGATATTATATAAATATCACATTTTTATTCAATAGATTTATACATACGTGTCTCTGGCAATAGAAAAAATATTTAAATTTTTATTATACAAATCGTTAATGAAATATCAAATATAAGTTCATTTTAGAAATTTGTAAAAAAAAAATAAAATAAAATAATCGATATTTAAAAAATGATTAATGAATTAATAAACTAATAAACAAAAAAAAAAAATAAAAGTATTTGTTATCTTATCATTTCTTTAATTAGATTTCGCGGGGAAGAACTAAATTAATCTCTTGCAGATGACAAATATACTTTTCGCAAGAATTATGCTCGGTTCAAGACCATTATCACGATATCGTGAACAATTTTTTTACACGCATAGATTAAAGACTGTAATCGGGGAATATGGAAATTCTAAGTAACCATATTCTCCACGGGCTTCCCCAGTTCTCAAAGAACAACAGAATGCGTATTGTATGAATTGTGAAGGCCGTGCATGAAAGAAAACACGCTAGCTTATATCATTTCTATTGTTCCTCGATGCCTATAATGCTTCGTATCCATAAACTAAAGCATGTTTAAAAAACAAAACAAAAAAAAAAAAAATAAAGGAAAAAAAATGCCATAAATTGCATTGATTGGAACATTTTACGTAAAAAAACTATGTAATACATATATTATTATAATAAATATTGCTGCAGAAAAAGAGAGAGAAAAAATTTATTTCAATTTTTTAAGAGATGGAATTGAATGAAATATGTTAAAATATGTTAAAAATGTTAAAAATTATTATAAATAATTGAAAAAATTTGTCTTCTATATACAGAAAAGATTTTCATTAGTATTCCATCGCTTAAAAATCAAATCAATAATTGATATCATTTGTAAATAAATAAAATATTATAAACAATGTATAAATAATATAATCCTGAGTAGATAAATTATTTCTTAAAACTATTTTTATTTTAATTTTAAAGCAATAAAATATTCTAAAATTAAAATATTAAAAGAGATTGAAAAAATTTTTGTGTATAAAATTATTCTTGTTTTTTATAAATAAATAAATATATACTATCATAAATATTTGATTAAAATTACATAATAAAAAATTATTGTAACATAAATATCTCCAAATAAATTGATTATCAATTTATATTATTAATTTGTAAAAATATCAAATATAATATTAATACATTAAATATTAAAAATCTTAGAAAGAAAAAAAATCTTTGTAATTTTAATAATGCTAAATTTAAATCTTAAAATTAATAATTTTATATTATATTATATTATATTATAACGTAATCAAACGTAAATGAATAAATAAATAAAAGAAATAAATAAAAAATTGAAAAAATATAAATTATAAGATCATTTATATTTTATAACAATAATGCAATAAATCTTGAATAAAAATAAAAATTGAATATATAGTTTTATATGTAAGTTCATATTATTGACCCCTAATGACCCGTACAGAGGAGTTCCCCGAGTGCAGATATGCAAAGACAAAGATAGAACCGGATAAGAAACCGACGGTAATTCCCCGTTTAAAATATCGCAAAGAAAACAGGGAAAAAGATGTCAACGTGAAATTTGTATATAAATCGAAGCTTTTGTCGAATATGACATCAGAAATCATTCAGCTGTACAGACAAGATCATTACAAATCTTGTGCTTAAGAATTCGAAGTGAACAAAAAAAACAATTTCCAAGATGAAATTCATCGTGTTAGTTCTTTTCTGCGCTATTGCATACGTTTCTGCTCAAGAAGAATTGGAACTTGAGGATACAATGGATTATGTGAGTATACATTATTTCATTCTATTGAATTAATTTTGAAATTTTTATGTAAAACATAGTATTTTAAATTTAATAATGAAAATAGTGGAACAATTGGATATATATAATATAATAAGAGATTAAAGAAAAAAAAAAAGATTCTTTAATTTAATAATAAAGTTTTAAAATTTGGAAAAGAATAATAATTTTTTGACTAAAAAAATATATATCTTACATATAAAAATATATATCTTACATAGAAAAAATTGTTAGAAACAATTTCTTATAAAATATTATAAATATAAATATATTACCCTAATAATATTTCAAAATCTTTTAATTTGAAACATAAAACAATTACTTGCATTATTATAAACTATTGATTATATAAATAATTTTTTAAACATTTTAAAAAAAAGAAAAATATATATTATCAAATTTATTAAATCGAAAAATGTATGAACATCAACAACAATTTTTTCATATTCTTCTCAAGTATAAGAAACATTATTATTATTAAAAAAAAAAATCATTTAACAATCTTAAAATTTTCATAGCAGCGAATATCCCTTAAATCTTTCTAGTTTCAACTATCTTTTGATTTCTTTTTTCTACCAATCCTAAATGATCAACACACCATCTCTTCATTTCAAATTCCTTTTATTAATTCTAAATTTAATCGAGTTTTTTTTTCCTCATTAATCGTTAAAATTTTCCTTTTTTTCCCCAGATTCCAACTCGTTTCCGACGACAGGATAATCCTCGCAGAGGATCCATCGTTATTCAAGGAACTAAAGAGGGAAGAAATCGTCCATCCTTGGATATTGACTATAAACATCGTGTCTACGATAAGAATGGAATGACAGGAGAGGCTTATGGTGGAGTAAACATTCGTCCTGGACAGCCTAGTCGACAACATGCCGGATTCGAATTTGGAAAAGAATATAAGAATGGTTTCATCAAAGGACAAAGTGAAGTTCAACGTGGTCCTGGTGGCAGACTTTCACCATACTTTGGAGTAAATGGTGGATTTAGATTTTAAAATATTTTTAAATAACAATTGACATAAATTAGCGATTTACGTAGCATTTAATAATTATTTATTCCAGTATAATGCATTTATTTCATTTTGATCTTAATAATTTATAAAAATTAATATTGATTGGTATGATATTGAATATTGGCAGATCGTAATTCGGATTGTAATTCAATTGTATTAATTGTAATATAAGAGATTCGAATAAACATAATTTTATCATTATAAACTGTGTGGCTTTTTTCTATCAAGGATAAATGAACTCGTCGACAAGTGCGAATGAACTTTTGGCATGCAAGTAGAACTGAGTGCAAATAATAAGCGTTTCGAATGGAGCTAAACCTTTTGATAGCGTGTAATGAAGTTACAGTTACTCGAATATGCGTATAATATGCAATAATAGATGTTATGTGATAATAAAGCAGCATTGTTCATTTATTTGGTTATTGTTGAGTACAATTTTAGAACATTTTATGCGAAATATTTTTAAAAATTATTTAAAAATTATTTAAAAATTTTTTAAAAATTATATATTTTATGATCTAATTTAAATTTAACAAAGTAAAAGATATTACTTATAGAATACATGAAAATATATATGATATACTTAACGTGTAGATATATAATAAATAGATATATTTTTATGAGTATAAATAAAAGATAATTCCAAAAAAAAATATGACATAAATTTTTATGAAGAGAACGATAAAGAATATTTCTATTATTTTATCTTCACTTATTTTCTTATATTCAAATTTCCAGTCAATAAAATATATATATAATATATAATAAATCCAATATCGATGCAGTTTAATTTTATGATGCAATTGAAAAGCGAATAAATTTATTAATCAAAATTACACAAATAGAAGAATAATGAAAAATATCACGACGAAATTAATAAAAATAAAATTTGTAAAATTCACAAATCAATTAATTTATAAAAATTTTAAAATAATTTGTTCAAATACATGATAATTTTTATTTGATGATTTTTAAATACAATTCATAAGAATAATACATATATAATTGTCATGTTACAAGAATAATAGAATAATTTTTAGACTTTAAAAATTAAAATATATTTATTTTGTTTAAATTTAACAATTGTTAAAAACACATCGAAATCATTATTTTTTTTCTTAAATAAACATATTAAGTATAAATATAATTAATTTAGGGAACATAAAAAACAATTTTTTTTTCTTATATATTTTTATTTGTAAAAAATTTTAACTGTGACTACAATATTTTAAAAGAAATACATAAAACGCAGATTATTTATTGTAAAAATGTAATATATTATTTATTTTATTATATAACATAATTTCTAAGATATTTATGAGAATATTATAATATTAAATTCTTTTTGTATCTATGATAGCAATTTAGTAAATACATTTACTGATATTAAGACATTCAATTTTTCTTAAATATCTTAAATCTTTTTGTAAAAGTTGCAACTTAACAAGATATAACTTTTTTACAATTTTTTACAATTTGCACATCAAATGGAATCAATTAATTTGATGATTTTCCATAAAAAAATTTGGTTCTTTCAATGAATTAAAAGCTATTTTAGATTTTTTCAGATAGTTAAGTTAAAACGATTTTGAAAAAGTATAACATTCCAAGCAGATGGAACTCTTTATATGTTACATATAAAATTTTATAAATGATAAGATATCATTGAAATATCAAATAAATATAATCCATCTCAATCATTATTCTAAAAAAATGAAATCATGAAGATTTTAAAAAAATAGATAAGCAATATAAAAAATATAGGCAATCTAGAAGAAAAAGAAAAAGAATATTCGTACTTTGAATTTCTAGTGTACATCTGGACTTTGATAATATCTAATAAAACTTAAAAGTAAACTAGTTTATCTAAACAATTTATCTATTTGCTTATATCAATGTTTTATAACTTATTAACATGAATACATTTGAAAACATAAAAGAGAAATATAAGAAAGTATACGTCATTATATCATTAGTAACATTATATTGTTTAATTAATAATTAAAAATAATGTTCTAAAAACAAATTATTATAAAATATTGCTGTAAAACGCTTGAAACTCATCAGCTTGTAAAAGAATAATAAACTGGGTCTCTGATATACCAGGTACGAAGAAAAAAAATTTTCCAAGCCAATAGTTTATATATAAACCTGCTATCATAGTGCTCGTCAAGCAAAGAGTGTCATAACAAAAAGGATTGACCTACACGATCCCTATATATTGTCACATAGTATCGTAACATCGTAAACGCCATTTTGTATTCGGACATCGTTTGATATGAATCGTTCGATGTAGAATGACCAATTGAGAGCATTAATACACACGTGACTGTATTTCATCGCGTCATTGCGATAAACTCTGCAACGTATAATTGAAATTCACGATATGTATACATATTTAACATATTAACGTTAATATGTTAACGTATTTTTTGAAGAATAGATTCTAGAGGTCAAGACAAATATATATAAAAAACGTTTATTGGCATTTCTTTGTTATAAGCAATTGAAGTTTACATTAGATGAAATGGGACGAAAAAAAAAATGAGACCATTCTGTTTCCGTTCTACATCGCCATTATATTCTATTTTTATCTCATTTCCAATCCTATTACTTCAATTGCTTATAACTTAATAAATAGCCTTAATCAACAATTTAGTAACAATTATATCAATTTTGTATATTTGTTTAATTTACACTCGATTCTTCAAAATTCTCACAGATATATTAATATCCTGTAATATATTAACTTCTTATCTTAATGTTGTTTAGAAATAATTTAACTTAATTAAGTTAATAATAGTAAAATAATATTAATTCAAGATTGATAAATCTCGAATAATCAATACAATTAAAAATTGTTATTTAGATTATAAATATTTGGATTATTTTATGATAATATATACTGATATATAATATATATGTATACGTATATTAATTACTTATCGTATCATTTTAATAAGAATTATCTAATTGAATAGTTAATTTGATGATAAAACACGAATGAATGCAAATTATAATGAAAATAAATATAGTATACTTCGATGATTTCAATAATTAAAATTTTAAGAAAAAAAAAATCTTCGAATTATGGAAATTTGATCGTTTGATCAAAATTCTTGAATAATAATGAAATAAATGAAAATTTAACGTAAAGAGATATTATACAGACATTAATATATTTTCAATTATAAAAACTCAAAGAAAAAAAATATTCCGATATTCAATACAAAATGTGTTTTCTCATTCAAAAGTAATTTTTGATTAATTTTTATTTTTTCGCATTTGTATATTTATTCTTTTATATAAAATATTATATTATCATAATACAAATTTCATGTGTCCAGAAATATCTTTCTGGCACTTATTCATTAAACAACATTTGCTCGTTTTATCTATTCAAAATTTATTTTGCACGATCGCGTGTAAAATATTCGTAAAAAAAATCGCGATAATATTTATTTTTTATTTTAAATTTCATTAAAAACAAAAATGACAATATTAAAGAATCGTCTTATGAAATCATAGAAATTCATTCGTTTTTTTAACGAGAAGAACAAAAAATGAATAAACCATGAAACATAATTAACGTTTATACATTAACACAAAAAATTTCTCCGATATCACGAATAATTTTATTGCCACATTTAACGCGATAAAAACATAATATCGAATAAAGTCCGACTTTGCTCAACTTTAAGACCATAGATTAAAAATGATTCGTAATCGTTACGTGAATTATTATCTCATAAACTCTCTATTTCCTTATCTTTATAGAGTGACACTTGATTCTTTTCTAATTTGTCTTCCGTTTTTCTCGTATCAAAGATTGCTCAATTTGTAAAATTCCATCTAATTTCCGTCAAAAAAATATTTTGTTTCCTCATTTCTTCCTAATATTTTTTTAATTTATTAGTTTAATAATTGATTTATTAACATTATACTTATATACATAAATGATTGTAAATAAATTTGCACATTGAAAGAGTTTAATATTAATATTTTTGATTATTAAAGATATTTTTCTACATCTATTTAAAAAAAGATTCAAAAATGTATAATATTTATATATTAGAAACTTAATCAAATATAAAAAATTAATATTTATAGAAAATTTGAATATTTGTTATCAAATCATATGATTTATAAATATTAAATACGATTCATATAATTTAAATAGATATTCCTATATATTTTCTATATGTATCTAGACAAAATATAATTTGTAAAAAATAAAAAATCTAAAAATAATATCTCTTATACAACAAATTATACAATAAATTGTAAAATTAAAAAATGACACATCAAGTTTTGTCATTTTCATCACAAAAACGTATATTTTATAGTTTTTGATTTACAATGATACGTAAATATAAAATATATAAATATAACTTTATTATATTAAATATAATTTCCCAAACATAATAATAAAAATATATTGTTTATATAAAGAAAAATCATAAGATCATATAAATAGTTCTATCCATTTTCAATTGTCCTAATTATTCCTAACGGATCCTTGAACTATCTCTTTAAATCAAAACAAATTAACATTCGTATGATTACGCTTCCTCTAAATTCGTGACACTTGGTCGTTTCTCAATCTCTTACGAGGAAAAAGGATATCATTTCTCATTTCATTTATCATTACATTCCTATGGTTTATATACCAGCAGGAAGCCGGTTCAATAAAACTAATGACAAATAAGATTTGTCCGACAAAATGCGATAACGGGATCAGCTGAGAGATTACACTACATGATTGATTTTATGATCGCGTGCAAAGTATCTTCGTTAAATTTCGTTTTCGCGATTAATTATACAGAATATTAAATAATCAGTTGATCTTTGATTGATCAATGATCTTTAATATTTTCTCTAATGATGAAAAAAAGATCATACAATAATGAATATATAAATAAGTTCTTATTTATCTTCTTATATCTACTAACTAATTATACTAATGTTAAGAATATATTTTTTTGAGTAATTTGAATTTTGATGATAAAGTATCGTTATCCCATCCTTCCTTTTTTATTTAACTTTTTTTTATTTAATAATTTATATTGTCACTTATATTACAATTGATATTATAACATTCAAAATATAAAATTAAATAAAATATTAAAATTAAATTAAAAATTTTATGAGTACAATTATTTACTTAATTGAAGTAAATGTTTATAATGTTCATCAATGATAAAA